GAAACGAAACTACAATTTGGGCAACACTGATATTATGGGAATGCTACCAAAGTGTATATGAATATACTGGAATAATTTCCGATATATGGTAATGTATAACAGTGACTATAACTGACATTATGTGCTAAAAACTAATTCTAGCTGAAGAGAAGTTATTCAGTCTGTGGTATACAACCCATTGAGGAGTTCCAAGTTGTCAATTATGGACCGAAGCTCCCGCTCTACAGTTATTTGAGACTTAATCCATAATCCATTTAAAAAAGAACTTGTGGAATGGGGAACTCATCTGAGTTCCACTTACACCATATAGTTTAATATATTGACGATATTTTTACTTTTAATTGGCAAACGATCCAAATAAATACTTTGGAAAATATAACTGAACACAACTTAATATACATATTACATACATAGAATTGTACGAAGTGCCTACTGAGCAGATGTAATACAATGTCTTGATGTTTCTCACATTAACTTCCAGCGTACTAAGACCTTGTATTATTATTATGTGAAGAGCTTGTACGTGAAATTTATAAGCTAATCTATTAAGAATTTGCAAAAAATCAGGTCTACTGTAGATATCTATAAACTGTTTATCACTCCTATCTGTCTATGTTGCACTCAAACAGTAAGATCTCTTCTGTTCTCAGTTCTCTCTCTTCTTTTTTCTTCTCAGTTCTCTCTCTTCTTTTATCTTCTTAGTTTTCTCTCTTATTTTATCTTCTCAGTTTTCTCTATTATTTTCTCTTCTGAGTTTTCTCTATTATTTTCTCTTCTCAGTTATCTCTCTTCTTTTCATTTCTCTCTCTTTTTTTTACTTCTCTCTCTTCTTTTCACTTCTCTCTCTTCTTTTCACTTCTCTCTCTTCTTTTCTCTTCACTGTCTTCTCTTTTATTCAAGTAGCGCATAGACACCTTTTTTACCGCATATTCGATGATGAAGCTTTAAGTTTTTTATACGCTGTTAATAATAGGTTCTGTTATACTGGCGATTCCAAGGGATCAATTTAGGCCTATAAGCCCATTATGTTACCGTACATTAAGACCGAAAAGTTTTCGGAAATTCTCATTTAAAATTCGCGCGCTGTATATTTTTCGATATTTTAAGTTTATGTAGTTTGGCAGCACTGTCCTTAATTACTATGCCAAAAATGAGCGCGATCTGTCAGACAGTTCGTTTACGGCAGCTGTTGAAACCAGTTCACCTCAGTAGTGCGTTGCGAAAAAAACAATGGAAAAAAATATTGAACAAAGAGTTTGCATCAAATTTTGTGTTTCGAACGAAATTTCGTGTGCAGAATCGTTGCGAATGCTACAAAAGGCTTATGGGGAATCAGTTTTATCGAAAACTCAAGTTTATGAGTGGTACAAAGCCTTTCAGGACGGTCGTACGACCGTCGAAGACATTTCGCAACGCACTACTGAGGTGAACTGGTTTCAACAGCTGCCGTAAACGAACTGTCTGACAGATCGCGCTCATTTTTGGCATAGTAATTAAGGACAGTGCTGCCAAACTACATAAACTTAAAATATCGAAAAATATACAGCGCGCGAATTTTAAATGAGAATTTCCGAAAACTTTTCAGTCTTAATGTATAATTAAAAATTCAGGGGTTAGAACCACTTAGAATCTTTGGCAAAGCTTATAATGCCATTCAAGGGGAGGTCCTGCAGTTCGCCAAGATCCTTAGAAAAGAAATCCCCAAAAGTAGTAAGGCAGCGCCGCACATGTGCTGGACCGCAACAAAGCAGATGGGCGGCACTTTCATCGTTCTCTCCACAACTACGGCAGGTATGATTATAAGAGAGATTTAATTTTCTAGCATGGTTACGTGTTAATAATATTATATATTATTACTATCTATTACTATATATTATATATAGCAATGTGCAATATTACTTTAATATCTGTGTACGTTACGACTACGCAGTTACCATATTAATATACTGTACTGAATATGTCGATATTGTGGTATGTAGCTCAGTCCATAGTAAAGTCAATTAGTACGAAATTATCAATGGCATGCTGAAAAGTCTAATGACTACCTACAAAAAGTTACAACATCATCAAAAGTGATCACTAGAGAGTACAGTAGGCAGGACTTTATGTGAAGGGATACAAACTCGCAAATAATAAGGACAACAACCACTGATGTTGAACATGATTATGTATGTTCTATTTTAATTTCATTTTTTGAATTTTTTTGTGACATACCGTTACTGCACTTTGACAATGTCCTGCAGCAATTATTTTTCAATCAATTTACCAAAACAGAAGCAAAAAAGGTCACAAAATTCATTGGTAACAAAACAATGGTTGTATGTCATGTCCAAGTGAAGTGAAGTGAAGGAATGCTCAAAGCCGTGCCATTCAAAAGAATGCGTTGCGCAATGAACTTTTGGAACGCGTAAAACAATGCTACGCTATGTTGTCGATGGAATGAATCGTCGGTCTATCCCACAGTGGAAACAGCGCACAGAACTTAGCATTGAAGCCGCTTATAATACCGCGAAATATTATATTAACACCTTAATAAACTGACGACAAAACAACAGATGTTATCCTTGGGAGCTAAAGTGTCCTTCTATAGACAGAGAGTGGAGTAAATGCAGTATGTTTAAGATTAGCTACCACAAAATGCACCAACAATTTGACTACATGCTACACCGCTGAACTTTGGGAAAGTTAACCCAACCAGAACTGGACGTAAAGCAGTTATTACCGAGTCACAACAACCAATGATAATGCAATAATAAGTGACTTAGTTGACTAAAAGATAATCATCATGACAATGACGGCATTGTGTCATTGACGGCGCTGTATATCGTGTTGCTTGTCTCCAGTGAGAAGTTTTCCGTATTAAGAATGAACTTAGATAGTTTCTGAAACAACTATTAGTTATGTGTGAAAGTGTATCCTTACATACTCACAATAGTTCGTTGGAATTAAATTCAATTGAGAAAAGGAAGTAACTCAAATGATCAAAATTTTCGATAAGGAGAATTCGTCATTAAAACTTTTAAGCGAAAGGAAGCCATAAAGTAAAAAATATACTTGACATTCGCTGAGCTCCTGTTTTAATTGTAGATAAAAAAAAATTGTTGGAAAAAAAATAAAAATCAAATCTGAAATTTTAATTCAATTTTTAAATAAAGGTTAACCGTTAGAATTATTTCTGACCTGTCCACACAAATCAGGCAACAATTTATAAATAAAAAATCTATGGCTGACACATAAATCAAAAGATAACAAAACAATATTTTGGGAATAATAATTAGTATTTTTAGATAAAAAAATTTAATCACAATAAACAATAATAACGAGATATGGGGCAAGGTACGTGATTAAAATATATATCAAATATGTGGTATAAAAGGACTTTCATATACAAAGGTATGTCCTTTGTGAAAGAAAAACCAACATTAAAAGGATATAAAATAATTTTTAATAGAATTTAGGGGAGAGTAACTGTTCAGAGAGTAATAAAATTATTTTTATTATTTGATTTACAAAATTCTAGACAGCACCAATCCGTTCTTAATATGGATTGAAGTTAGTATGATAATTCATATGCAGTGTGACATTTCGTATGTATGGTTTGATTACTTTAGTAAGTAATCTGAATGCAGATTATGCCTCGAAGATGAGGAAACGACCATGCACATTCTTTATAACTGTCCAGCTTTAATAACGCACAGAAGAAACCTGTTTCATAAAAAATTTCTGTCACCAGAACACATTAAGAACTCTTCTCTAGATTTAGTTCTAGACTTTATTCACAAAGCTTTAAGGGGCTTTGTTTAATCAATAGTGAAACTGGTACAATAAGTCTCTTCTGGCCGCAGTACCAGCTGTTGGGCAATTTTCACATCTACTCTCTTAATTAATTAATTAAGTAATGTGAATAAGTTCTTTGATTCATCATTTTGACAAATCTTTTAACCAATGTCAAAACTTATTTTTCTCTCACGCTCATAATGGAAATATATATAATATAAGTTGTGAAACTCCGCAGGAAAAAGTAACTATAACATATTTTCTCTGTAAATGCCCAGCTTTGAAGTCCAGAAGAAATAAGTTTTTAGGCAAATACATCTTTGACAATTTATCAGACTGTTCGACGGAACGGATTTAGTCTCTGCTCTTCTATATTAGAGGTGGAATGTGGAATGTGATAGCAAAACGGCGAAAAATCGCTAATTAAGGTACATGGGAGTTATCTAATGGCCTGCTACTGCAACCAACCAACCAGCCGGATCTGGATAAATCTGAACACTAACAACAAATGCTTTGGCGTCTTTTCTTAGCGCATTGACAAATGCGATCTACAGCAGCTACAATAGGGTTAGTCCGATTTAACTTCAGTTCTGATCAGTGAACTGATGTTATTTAAGATACCTCTTTCTTATTTCTGTGGATTAATTTGGAAGTACTAAAATGCGAATGTGTAGGCCTTATCACCATTGACCTAGCACTATTGAAATGCGATCTACAGCAGCTACAATCGGGTTAGTCCGATTTGACTTCAGTGCATATGCCAAACCATTATCCTGATCAGTGAACTGATGTTATTTAAGATATCTCTTTCTTATTCCTGTGGATTAATTTAATCATTGACCTAGCTGCTTAAGTAAGATTAAAACAAATTTGATAATCCTATAGGTTATCGATAAAAACGAAAATCTATCTACATTTTTTTCGCCTCTATAAATATAAAAAAAACAAATAGTAAATTAATTAAGGGATGTGAAGAAAAACAAATATTTGCTTTAATAGTAAAAAAGTTAGAAATAAAAATATTTTTTTTTTTTCAATTTTTATTAAAATAACAGTACAAAAAATTATTACAGGATAAAAAAATAATAAAATTTTTTTTTTGTAATAGAGGTTGATTTTTTAACTGATATTTAATTCATACAAATTTTTAATATTTTTTTTATATTCCATTTACGGGTACATCTATTACTATAAAATGTAAAAATATATGACTTCATACGTACCTTAATTTAAAGAAATTCATATTAAAATTGACTCCTATTCAACTTCACAATTAATGTAAATGATCAAGTTTAATTTATTGAAATCTGAAAAGATAAATATTTAAAAATTATTTGTAGTTATAATCTAATTAATTACCTTATTCCAAATCATTTTTTTATAACTTTAATAATAATAATATTAAGAAATTTAATATAGTAGTAATACACGAATTAAAATATATTTATAAATAATATATTTCTTATATATATTAAAAAATATAATAATATAATACGGTAAAAAAAAATTATAATAATTTATTTAATTATTTCACAGTACCCGCTCTCGATACAATATAAATACTATATCGTAAAGGCAAAAGACACGGTGGGCTGGCTACATGGCTGAAGACTGTAAGAACTCATAATTGCTTAACACCGAAGTACACGTAGCTTTTAACTGCAACTATATTAACTACATATACAAACCATTAAAGTAGTAAAGCAATATTCTAGTCCGACATATCGATATATAAAAGTTCATTGTAGATAGATAATGTTATAGAAATCTGATCCGTAAATACCTATTTAAAAAACAGAATCTCGTTTCTTTGCTTGAACTCTACTGACTGTTATTATTGATTCTATACTACTGTCTGTATCATAAGTAAGTAAAATAACCTGTAAGTACCAATGCATTAGTATATTTAAGCATTTGGATAACCGAAAGTGATTTTTGAAAAATTTTAAAAGAGAATAAAAATATTTCATATGATATATATATAGTCATGGACAAAAAAAATATTCACGACAGGACTAATACTGAACAAACGAACGTTACAAGTCATCCCAAATATCAGTCTTAAAAAAATAATATCTTTTAAAAGATATCGTTAGTTATATCAGTTTAACAGGAATTTTTTATTATTAACAGAGTTTTGCAGAGATCCAAACAATCAATAGTCAGATCGTGCACGGTGCGATCTACACACTGAATGCAACAAAACATCCCAACTAAGTTCCGTCTGAGCCCGAGCTATATGGGTAACAACACCAACTAATGACGAAAAAAGACGACATAAAATTTCTTTATATTTTATAAATAATTAACATAGGGATTCAAGACTAGGAAAAATATCTGATTTGAAGAAACACTCTAATCTAACTTAAAGGTACAATAGATCTTTTAGTGTAGTATTCCTTTTTCATAATAATAATAGACTTATGAATATTGCTTTACAAAATTTTTTTTTATAAATTTTTTTTAGTTCTATATGATTTATACATAATATTGTAACTTATGAATTGATTTATAATTTTTCATCTTTAAAAAATATTATATTGAAAATTGCAATATGATTGCAATATGATTAGGCACTTTAAAACAATACTAGTGATGTTTTATTTTTTGCTTTAGTTTAAAGAGTAACACAATATATCACTATTATTAGTATTATAACAAGCGACAATAGTAAAATGTGATCTATAAAACTGTTTGTGCTTATCCTAGGGAGAGTCTCCTAAGTAAACACTAATAAATTAAAGCTATTTGCAGACCGGAAAACATTTGTTATTACCAGATTACAGACCTTATTCGGTTAATATAAAGGTGCTCATGATGAGATGAATGCTTGTTAATTACTAGGCGCAAACTTAAATCAAACTAACCCATATATGACATCAAAAACTATTTAACTCAAGTATTGGAACAAATTAAAACTATTTTTTACAAAAAAGGCAACCTTATAATATATATTGTCTATGTATTCTAATTTGCTACTAAATAATATAGTTCCAAATATATTGTATACATAAATATATACAAAAATATTTATTGCAAATGTCAAATAACTCACTATAAATATAAACTATAAATTTTAACTTTTCCACTAACGTCTCATAACATTTTTCAATTAACTTTCATTAAAATGTTAAACCTTAATAAGAATATTAACCCTTGTAAGGAGGATTTTATTTATTGTGGTTTTAACTTTTATTTATAATCCACCGGTTCAAATTAATATTTCTTCTGAGAGAAAAGGCAATAATCCTTTCGAAGAATCCTTTGATGCAAGCAACATAATTACAAAAAAATTTATATTTTTATATTTGAAAAGGATTTAGGACAAGGGTGACTATTTACTAGAGTTCGCAAGGCCAGCATACCTATGTATATGCGTATGCAGACTCTATAAAAACAATTAATTTAGGGGCTCATACGTAATTAGTGTGAAAATGACGGTTAAAAAATGTTTTATACACTTAAAATTACAGAAATAAGAGCCTTACATATATCTATATATGTATATATATAGTTGTATAAAAATATATTAATTTGTATGTATGTAAAAGAATTTTCAAAAATTCCAGCACACACACTCCGTGAAATATTGGCAGAGAGAAAATGAAAATAGATATTTTCCGCACATGTACGAGTAGCAATAAAATAAAAAGGACAACATTTACAATAATGAAAAGGTGTCGAAATGACTGACACGAATGGAGTGGTTACATATCCTTTCCATTATTATTATTATCATTATTATTATTGTTATATACATATAAATATATATATTTGTTTGTTGTGTGATTATCTTTGTCATAGCCCAAAGGAACAATTAACAATAGTAAACCATATGTCACACCAACGTAATAACAATTTAGCAATTAATTTTAACCAGAATTTAAAGTATTGAAAAAAAGTCATAATGATAAAGAAATTCAAAAGGACGAAAAGGACGAAATGCGGAAGTAATTAGGAAAATGTCACGCAACAGGATTTCATAACAACACTACATAAAAATATAACACTAAAAACAGATATCATAAAAAAGGTAAAAAAAATATATACAATATAAACATGAAACAATATATAAATATAATAAAAAACATAAATATAATAAAAAATATAAATTTAGTAACAAATATAAATTTAGTAAAGAATATAAATGTAAAATATTATATAAATTTAAGAAAAAAATATACATAAAAAATAATATAAATATAAAATAAAAAAAAAATTAATATAAAAGATTAACATATACACATAAAAAAATTACAAACATAAAAAGTATACATATAAAAAACACAGAAATTTAAAAAAAATATATAAATATAAAAATATGTAAATATAACAAAAATATTATTATAGAGAAATATAAATATAAAAAAAAATTAATATAAAAAATATATACTTAAAAAATATTGTAAACATAAAAATGTTATCATATAAAAAATACACAAATTTAAAAAAAAGATAAAAATAAAAAAATATTAATATAATAAAAATTATTATATAAAATATATAAATATTGAAATATATAAATATTAAATATTATAAATAAAGAATATAAATATATAAAAAAATATTATAAAAATATATAAAAAAATAAAATATAACAAAATATTATTATAAAAAATATAAATATAATAAAAAATATAATATAGTAAAAAAATAATACAAAAAAAATATAATATATAAAAGATATAAATATAAAACAAAATATAATATACAATAAAATATAAATATAAAAAAAAATTAAATATAAAAAAATATAATTTAAAAAAATGTATATAAAAAAAATATAAATATAAAAAATAATATACATACAAAAATAATATAAAATATAAAAAAAATATAATTATAAAAAATTTATATTTATATATATGTCGCTCGTGGAGCAACATTAGCATGACGTTCTCAGTATTACGTTCCTAGATTAGGTTCTATACATAAAAAAGAATATATAAATCACGCAGCAAACAATGCCTCTACAAAAAGAATAGTATTAAAATTAAACAATTCAAAATAAAAATATAATTAATTAAATAGTTCATTGATTAGAATTAATTAATTAATTAATTCTACAGCTGGATTATGATTTTGTTCTAATATAAACATAGTAAGTGAATTTGTTAATAAAACTTTCACAGCAAAGTAACAGAATTCCAGAAAAATGTGCGAACATAAAAGACAAGTACAGATTTGGATCAATTGATTAAGGAGCGTTGACACTGAGCTGCAAATTTGGCGGGGCACGAGTTCGATTTTTGATACTAGCAGTGTCTTAAAAAATTATTTACGAATAATTATATACACGAATTATTTTCAAGACCACTAATGATGGGTATTTGGTAATACTCAAAACAGCTTTATGGTCATTCAAAAATTCAATTAATAAAAATAATATAAAATGAATTTTTGTTGTAGTAGTTCACTACTGTTCGGAAAACCTTAAAGGAGGTTTTCAAAAAAAATATATATATATAAAAATATAAATGTAAAATAAAATATTAATATAAAAAAAATATAGATATATGTAATAAAAAATATAAATATAATAAAAGTAAATATAAAAACAATGTGAATATAAAAAAAAAATATAAATATAATAAATATAAATATAAAAAATAATATAAATGTAAAAAATAATATATATATAAATAAAATGTAAATATAAAGAATAATATAAAAATAAAAAAATAAAAATTAAAAAAAAAAAAGTTTAAAAGATTTTTCTATAAACAATAATTATTAATTATATAAATAAATGTATATCGATAATTTCCAGGTCATAGTAACAGAGCTAAAGACAGGTATGTAACAAGCTGTAAAAAGAACAACAGCTAATGCTACTGTTATTAAAGTGTAGTAAAAATATTTGTAAGTCATAAAATCATTTAGTAAATTTTAACTACACCAACCGCTGCAGTTTGGAATAGTACCAACATAGATCAGATCATTCACCTGCCTGCATAACTCAAACAGGTGATGTGAACTTGGCTTCAATGGTTAGTATCCCTTACATCCGCGTTTTTTGTTTAATTGCCACTGACTTGGTTGCTAACCAACCACCAAATGTAGGAATAATTAATGCAAAACTCTCATATGCTCAGCGCGATCATCCTTTGCCTCTTAACAATGAAGATGATGCACACATGCCACCATCAAAGGAAAGACAGCATTAGATGCAAATGTAATTACTGACCTCGGCACGAGCGAGTTACTCAATGCTACAAATGGCATGCACCTGTGCACCGTTCCAACTTTAGCTAAAACGCTGACCTTTGACATATGCATTTTAAATACACTTCATTCCAGTATAAAA